AACCTCGGTTGTCAGGCTGTGGTATCAGAGGGCTACGGAGCATCACCCCCTACACACAGGCTCCACACAATGAATATACTTTTGTTTGTTTGTTTGATACAGGGTCTCACTATGTAGCCCTAGCAGTCCTACAATTCACTGTGTAGACACTATGTAGGGGTATAGTTAAATAACATGTCCAGTGGAACAGTTTCAACATGTCCCCAAAGTTTATGCTTTGCAAGTGTAATCCCTGCTGTAACAACTGTAGAGATGAGACCTTTAGGGGATTGTTAGCGCAGGTACACTTTGTCCTCAGGAATGGATTGATGTTCTTGGCAGACATGACTCATTGTCACTGAAAAGTTTCTACAGCCCGATAAGCCTCTCCATCGATGCAGCAATCCAAATTGGACCAAATCAAACCGAATTAGAAAAGGCCCAAGTTTAATGGATGTAACACTCCCCGATGGCCTTCCCTGAGAGAGGAGATGAGAAGGGAGTCTGTTTTCTGGGGGGACAGTTCAAATGACCTGTGGGAGTGGTCTTGAGCATCTGTGGGGGAGGGATCATCATTTGTCGGGCTCTCTGAGATGCAGCAAGGTTTGGAGGGAGATAGAGGAGGGGGCTCGGGAGGAGCCTCCACTGTAACAGTCACCAGTGAGTTGATTATAAAAGTAGAGGTCACCATGGTTTGGATGACAATGGTCCCCATAAGCTCACAGATTTGAATACGTAGTCACCAGGGAGTGGCACTATTTGAAAGGATTAGAACGTGTGACCTTGTTGGAGGAAGTGTGTCACTAGGGCTGGGCATTGAGGCTTTTAAAAGCCCAGGCTGAGTCCAGCAGCTGTCTCTTCCTGTTGCCTGCAAATCCACAAGTAGAGCTATCAGCTCCTTCTCCAGCACCATGTCTGCCTGTGTGCAGCCAAGCCCCCAGCCATGATGACAATGGACTGAACCTCCGAAACTGAAAGCTCAATGAAATGTTTTCCTTTATTAGAGTTGCTGTGATCAAGTGTTACATTGCAAGTCTCTGCTCTTGTGGAAGCTCAAGCCCTGGCCCTGAGATGGAGGCTGGCGCGCTTGCTTTGGAGACTTCACAGGCCTCAATGAGGACTTTCTGCAGAGAGGACACTGAGGTTGTTGAAGCCAGGGCTGGGAGAGATGGTTCTCTATACCCGAGGGAGCCTCGGCGTGGGCACAGACACCAAATCCTCAGCACAGATGAGACTGATTACCCCAGAAGGGTAAGCTAGATGCCTCTCAGCGAGGCAAAGACACCAATGGCTGTCTGGCACATGGGCATTTTAAGGGCTCTAGCACTGGAAAAGAAGGAAGGGGCTGTCCCCCAAAGACGGTTGGGGTGGCTGTCTCCAATTGGTTAGGAGGGGAAGCAAGAAGATGAAGTAGTGGGATTTTTGTCTTGTAGCCTGGTCAGTTTGAGAAGCCAAATCAGGACCCACAATACTACTATGATTTTTTTTTTTTTTTTTTTTTTTTTTTGATCCAAAAAGAAGAAGGAAGGAGGAGGAGGAGAGAAAAGAAATATATTCAAATGTAGCCACTTAACAAAAACAACTCTAAGCAAGTTTCCAAACTGAAACCCAGAAGGAAATCTTGTAACTCACTAACTGGTAACTCTTTAGGTGGGCTTCTTTTTACAGCAGGTAGACTGGCAGGATCTCAGGTCTAGTGAGACTCTGTGGAGGGGGTATAGTCAGCAGGTTCAGTATTGAGAACTCGCACAAGGAAATGACTTTCTGAGTTACACAGTCGCGTCTGAGTTTCTCATTAATATGTCTCTTGAACTGAGTTTTATAACCTTGAAAACAGGCTGGGCATGGTGGTTCACGCCTTTGATCCCAGCACTCGGGAGGCAGAGGCAGCTGGATATCTGAATTACAGGACAGCCAGGGTTATTACACAGAGAAACCCTGTCTGGGGTGGGGATGGGGGTGTCTCAAAATTAGTGTTCCTTATTGGAATATCATTCTCCTAGGTGACTCTGAAATACACACTTGGGCCAGAAATATCCATCCAGACTTGCAGAGGGACATGCAAGGATCAGACCAATGAACAGAACTGGGAGGGGAAGAAGAGGAAAAGGCATTTATTATGCATAGGGTTTGTTCTTCTTGTTGTTTGGGGGGGTGGGGGCTGAGGGGTTTACTTGAGATGGGGTCTCACTATGTAACCCTGGCTGTCTTGGAATTCTCTATGCAGATCAGGTTGGCCTCACAACTCATAAAGTTCTGCCTGCCTGTGTCTTCTGAGCACTGAGGTTAAAGTCATGCAACACCATGCTGGGCTCATCCATATGCTATTATGCAGGCATCTGATGACCTGTGGAATTACAACCTCCCTACAGATGTTATCAAAGGACGTTATCAAAGGGTGTGCAGGTCAGCTGCTCTGACCTACAAGGATTATCTGTGAGTTCTTTTCTCAGAGACCAAGACCTCAAAGGCAAGGCTGCCTTGGAGCAGGTTGCTTTCTCTAGTCTCTATTCAATTAGCACAGGGAGAAAGCTCTTGCCTACACCTACCTACTGAGCACCAGAGACAGAAGAGGCCCATGCTCTTCAAAATACTGATGTTATAATCTCTTCGTAACTTTTCCATACCATTGTCCACCTCAGGCCCTATGGTAGGGGATGCTGGTTAGTCTGAGGAAAGACATTCAGTCCCACAGAGTTTTTGGCATTTCAGAGCCTGCATCAAAGCTTTGCAGCACTTGCTGGCTGGCTTCAAGGACTGAGACCTTTTCTTGGAGTGAGACACCCAGCTCTCTGCTTCCCTTCCCAGTGATGACTAGACTCCTCCCAGTGACTCCTCATCCCACAGACATCACACCATCATCTAGGGGCACTGGTGCCTGTGGATTACATTGTTGGCTAGGCAGGGAGTGTTGACTGTGCTCTCTGCGCTGGACCACACAGGAAGGGTTGACAAAAAACCCTCTTCTTTAGTGGTTCAGGGGCATAATGTGAGCATTTTGGGGTTCATGAGCTAGAGGGGCCTTCTGAGCCAGAGACATTTCTAGAATGTTTGCTGAACTTTCTAAAATCATTCATGTGGCCAAGGCACACAGAGGGAGAAGGAGAGCAGATATAAAAGCCACACTGAAGTGTCCAACAACTTTTCTTGCTAGAGACATAGAAAGTCTATGCCCACAAACATTGTGTCTGGAGGAGAAGGACCACCCTGAATGTACACAAGAGATTCCTGTTGAGGGAAAGGAGAAAGTTCAAGAACCAGAGAGATCAATAGGAGAAGAGGAAAACATGGGGGAATCAAGAATTAAGAATTAGCAGGGCGTTGGTGGTGCATGCCTTTAATCCCAGCACTACTCAGGAGGCAGAGGCAGGTGGATCTTTGTGAGTTCGAGGCCAGCCTAGTCTACAGAGATTGTCCCAAGACAGGCTCCAAAGCCACAGAGAAACCCTGTCTCAAAAAGCCGAGAGAGAGAGAGAGAGAGAGAGAGAGAGAGAGAGAGAGAGAGAGAGAGAGAGAGGAGAGAGAGAGAATCAAGAATGAGGAGATTAAGAGGTTGGTTATCTTCCAATGAGGAATTTAGACCAATGAATAGACTGCCAGCATCAAACTAGTTTCATTCTGGTGCTCGGTAACTCAGCAACTTCTGAATCCACAGCAATGTGTTCTCAGAGCCTTCCCCGTGCAAAGATGCCCATCAAAATCTCCATCTCTTGTCAGTGATGGAAGGAGCAGGCAACCTATATAACCCTCTGCTCCATAAGTCTCTGTAACATTCTCAGAGGGGAACATCTCAGTGAAACATATCCATGTCCTATATAATGATCACGTGTGTCTATATCTCTGTATTCTATACAATGATCATGTGTGTCTACATCTCCATTTTCTACACAATGATCACATGTGTCTATGTATTTTTGTTTGACCCAGCTTTGCCTACAATCCTTCTTGTTTTGGATGTTTGGAATTGCTATAGTTATCTGACCACTATGAGTGCAGAAAATTAATAATAATAATAATAAACCCCTAAGGAAGGCTGAATAGAAGATGAAGCAAGCTGGATGAGCAGTTTACGGACTCTTTAAAATCTTCTGAGTTGCTGCTTTACTGATACATCTCATCTGAAGATTCTTCTAGAGCATAACAAAGCTCCTTATCATTATAGGGAAAAAAATTCTAGTTCAGCAGAGACCTCTTTTCCTACTAACTAAATAATACTTTTTCTTTACTTCTCCTCAGCCTGAACCACACTGAGTTACAGAGACAGTCCATCGAGTTCTAGCATGGCCACGTTCAATGGCCATTACCTGCTCAGGGCTCCGTGTCTGAGAGGAGCTAAGGCGCTAGGTCTGACTTTGGCAGGCGCTTCCTATTGCTTTGCTTCCTGCCTTACCTCATCCCTGCTTCTGGGCCACACCCTGCATGCCTCCCCACCCGTGACTTACCAGTTTCAGCACCTCTATGACGACAAATATTACATCTTCCCTTTCCTTATGTGAAGTGTGAATTGAAAACAACGAACAAGACATTTGCAAAGGTTTTGTTGTGTCACTAGCTTTGGGAAAATACCTAGACGGAACCATCTGTGATAAAGGTCCTTGTTTTGAGACATCAGAAAAGTCATGAAGCCTTTGAGGGGGTGGACCAAGAGCTCACCGGCTACTTCTCAGGGAGAAAGCAAAGACAAGCATAATAGGGACAAAGCTTAGGGGAGGGACTAGGAGAGAGAGGGGGAGGTCTGTGGTTTAGTATCATAAAGGAGAGTTGCCTTGAACAGTTGACAAGAACACTGCAGAGCTGGGCATGGTGGTGCATGCCTTTGATCCCGAGAATTGGGAGGCAGAGGCAGGAGGATCCCTGTGGATTTGAGGTCAGCCTGGTCTATAAAACTCAGAGAGAGACCCTAACCCCCCCACCAAAAAAATTGTTCAGGAGTGGACATTAGTAGCATTATTCAGTAGTTATCAGAACATTAAATGTTGGCCCAGCTGATTTATGGAATAGAGACCCAGAAGACCCCAAACTCAGCCACTCTTATGGCTCCCATCTCCAGTTCTTTTGATCTTGGCCAAAACAGCAGCCCTAGATGGTCTCTTCCGGTCGTAAGCCAGGCCCAGGGCAGCCATGCAGTCGATGAAGAACGTGGTGAAGTTGATGTGCCAGCGGTACTCACTGGCGGAGTAGTCATAGGGGAAGGCGTGGTGGTAGTTGTGGAAGCCCTCGCCTGGAACAGAAGCAAGGAGAGCCGTTAGGGGCACGGTGACTGCTGCCTCCTCCTCTTTGCGCACCTCTAACCTGTTGTGTTCCTCCATCCTTTAAGAACCCCGCTGTTGAGCGAACAGATGAACCCACAGTCTTATATTCTAAAGTGAATAGATGCCCTCAGCGGTATCTCAGGAAACCAGCTGACAGGCTCTGCTCACACACGCCTGTCTGGGAGCCTTTGTCAAATCGAGTTTCTGTCTTAAGATGGGAGAGAAGCTGGGTCTGTGGGGACAGACTTCAGGATGGAAAGTACCATCAGTGCCTTAGGAAAAAGGGCCCAAGCTCTACAGAGTCTGTGCCTAGGTGCCTGTGGCCAGAGCAGGGCAGAGGAGAGGGGACAACTGTAGCTGTGTTCCTTAGATGGAGTAAGCCATACCATTCCCCAAGAACTTCTGCTCTCTGTAAGGGTGGAGGTTCCAACAGGGTGGACAGTAGCTACCAACATTTACCAGGAAGGAGTCCTGGCCAATGCCAGGCATTTCCTCAGCCACTCCAAGCTCACTAGAGACTGTGCTGGCTGCTAATTCTCTGAACTTTGACCTTGGAACAGGAGACATTAAGAAAAGAGAACTTGAAAAGCACTCAGACATTCTCTCTAACACTGAGGTCCTGAAATTCCTAGGATGGGCAACCTGGAGGATAAAGGAAAACAGAGATTCTGGATTCAAGATTATCTCTGCAATCCATGTGGATTCTCCTGTTCTCTGCATGGCTCTTCTTTCTGAACTGATTCCGACAATACAGGTTGGGAGAGACAGTGACCAAGAAAAGACACTGCACCCCTGGAGATCAAACCACCCTAGAGAAGTCAGAAGAGTGGAAAGAACGCTAAGAGCCGCAGGAAGTGGTGGGCGAGGGAGGATGCATTGCGGAATACTGTCTTCTGGGCATGGTGTGGCTGCACCAATCTTGAACTCATGGCCTGTGATTTAACGGCACAAGATCTGTACAAGACTGAGCTCTTCAACATTCCAACACGGCAAATGGAAGGGCTCATGGCACCCCATCCCTCCCTGAGGGTTTATATGCAGCTCCACACTTCTGAATTGAATGTTCAGCTTGTGCTCCTGTGAGCCACCGGTTAAGGTCATCAGGCCGCCGACACATGGAAAGGCATTAAAGCAGGAGGGCTACTTAGAGGCAGGGGATGAGCAGGAATAGGAGGGGGGAAGAAGGAGCACAGGGGTTAGAATGAAATCATGTTCATGCATGAAAATGTCAACCATAATTATATGTAATTAATATATACTAATTAAAACATTTTTAAGTTAAAAATAGTCCAGGGTCTGGAGAGATACTCAGAAGTTAAGAGCACTTGCTGTTGATGGGAGATGTCATTCTGTATATGTTTCTCATACTGGTTTAATGAATAAAGCACTGTTGGCCAATAGGAAAGGAAGATAGGAGGGACTAGGAGACAAGGAGGAAATAGGAAGTAGGAAGGGGGGCCAAGATGGAGAGTCTGGAGAAGGTAGAACCGCCAGCCACCTCTCCCTGGTAAGACCACGTGGAAATACATAGAAATGGGCTAATAATTAAGACAGAGCTAGCGGATAAGAAACAAGTAACCGGTCCAACAACATTGTATCAAGTACAGAGTCTCTGTGTATTATTTGGGGCTGGCACGGCGGGACAAGACCAGGGGCGGGTGGAAAACCATACTCCTTACAAATGGCGCTCAACGTGGGGCCATACTCCTTACATGCTGTTCTTGCAGAGGGCCTGGGTATAGTTCTTGGCACTCACATGGTAGCTGAAAACCATCCAGTTCCAGGGGATCTAACACATTCTTCCAGCTTCTACAAGTAGCACATGCATATGGTGTCCACCATATACACATAGGCAAAACACACATGGTGTCCACCACATACACAGGAACATACACATGGTGTACACCATATACACAGGTAAAACACATACATGGTGTACACCATATACACAGGCAAAACACTCATGCACATAAAAATAAATAAATCTTTTAAAAAATATTCCCCAAAGCAGAGTGTAGTGGCACATTTTTTTTTTAACCCCAGCACTCAGGAGACAGAGTTAGGCAGATTTCTGTAAGTTAGAGGCCAGCAGGGTCTATATAGTGAATTCCAGGCCAACCAGAGCTACCATGTAAGATCCGGACTAAAAAATAAGACACCAAAATACTCCCCAAGATAATGGGAGTTACATTGGAAACAAAAATGATGATCTCAAGGGCTATACTCCTATATACTCGGCTGTGTGTGGGGTGGCTAAGGTACTGACATACAGTTGCTAACTTCCACATGTGTTTTAACAGGGAGTCTCTGAATGAGACTTAACAATTAAAGTGGAATCTCTCTCTGTGTCTGTCTCTGTCTATCTCTCTCTCTCTCTCTCTCTCTCTCTCTCTCTCACACACACACACACACACACACACACACACACACACGGGGAGGGAGGGGGTGGGACGGGAAAAGAAGCCCAGGAAAGCAATGGAAAATGGTCATCTTTGTCAAAGAGCATACGCCAATGAGTATGAGGCAGGTGACTAAATAACACAAAAAGATTAGGGCAGCCACGGATGAGATGAGAGGGATAGAAGAGCAGCTATAGAGAGGAGAATAACAACAGACATGAAACAAGAGGCTGGCAGCCACTTTGAGCTCATCAGGACTCTGGAGCTGGGGAAACTCATTGTATAGACCCCTTACCAGTACAGGACACATATCAGCCTACGGTGTGCCATTTCCATGAAAATCAGAACTTTAAAGGACAGGTGTTTTCATTTGTGCTTTTAAGCACAGGTCAAATGAGACTACATGCACTGCTGGAAAGTACCTGAAAGCTCCAGGAAGGTTCGGGAAATGACAGTTCTGTGGCGCTGCTGCGGTTGACTGAACTAGGTTCCTGTTGGTTTTTCCCACACGCAGCAGGCTTACATATATAAAGCACTATGCTTTCCTGGCCTCTCCACTGGTACTGTTCTTCTATTTATGCACCTGCTGTCCCCCTTTAATACCAGCACTCAGGAGGCAGAGGCAGGCAGATCTCTGTGAGTTCAAGGCCAGCCTGGCCTACAGAGTTATTTCCAGGACAGCCAAAGCTACACATACACACAAACACACACACACACACACACACACACACACACACACACACACACACACACCTGTCTCGAAAAACAGAAACAAACAAAAAGAATTCAATCATAATTAATGATGATTTGGGAAATTAAAACCAATGGATTAGCCCTCATTTTGGAGTGGAAACATAAAATCCAAAGTAATCATAATCTCTTTCTTAGCCTTAATGCTCTAATCAATAATCTACCTCGAGTAGTCTCAATGTGAACTGATGACTTACCAAAAGATGCCATTGAAACCAGGACATTCTCTCGGGCGCCAATGTTCCTGTCATATGGCCTGTATCCATAGAGGTGGGCAGCGCTGTTCACCAGCCAGGTGAAATTGAGAATGATGGTATACCGCAAGAAAGTAGCAATGTATAAGCTGTGTTGAAAAGTTTCACCCCAGAAGTACCAAGGCACCAGTGTGGGAAGGACGATGGAGGTGAGCACGACAGCTGGCTTGTAGTACCTGTGTGGACAGATCACACACTGAGCCTGTGGAGAGGGGTCACGAGCACACTTGAGAGGTTCATGTTCACTGGGCTGGCCTGTCTGTTCTACACTATCAGCACAGAAAGGGTATATGTTATCCCACTCCACACACACACACACACACACACACACACACACACACACACGCACGCACGCACATGCACACATGCACGCAAGCACACACACATGCACACACGCACGCATGCACACACATACACATGCACACACATGCACGCACGCACACACACACACGCACACACACACACTTTGCCTGCATGTATGTGTGTGTATCACAGATGGCGAGGTGCCCAAAGAGGTCAGAAGGCGGCACTGGATCTCCTGGAACTGAATTTACATGTTGAGAGCCAGTCAGTATGTGGGTGGAAGGACCCAAGCCATTGAGGCATCTCTCCAGTCTTCTGCACACACACACACACACACACACACACACACACCCTCACCCTCCAGTCGAGCAGAGCCAGGTAGGCCTGTTGTGGAATATTAGTTTACACTGTAAAGATGTGTCTCTGCCTAAGACACCTTCTGATTGGTGTAATAAAATGCTGAATAGCCAACAATAACTAGACAGGAGGTACAGGTGGGATTTCCAGGGAGAGAAAGGAAGAAGAGGAGTCTAGGCTCATGAAAGATGCCAAGAGACATGGAGAGGAAACTGGGGGTACAAAATGGAGGAGAGCTAACACCATATGATAGAACACAGATTAATATAAATGGGTTAATTTAAGTTGTAAGAGCTGGTTAGGAACACGAGCGTTCATAATTAAGAAGTTCAATGTCATTATTTGGGAGCTGACTGGCAGCGCAGAAAGACTCGCTATATGGGCCTGTGGGTATCTTCAGCCAGCTTGGACCCAGAGGCGCCAGGTGGGTATGTGGGTGCCCTCCACCTGTCCAGTCATCCCTCCAGGCTTATCTTTAGATGAGGAATAGTGGTGGGACATGGGTTAGGCCGTGGGTCTGCTGACTAGAAATCCATTGTTTATTTTCACAAAGGGTAAGGCCATGTTGGTCAAACAAGTCGGGATGAAGCCACAACTCGTCTGCTAAATTCCACTGCCCGGGTTCTCCAGCTGCCTTTGGGATGGCTTCTTGTGTCCACCTCCATCTTTGACAAACAAGCGTTCATTTCCTGCTACCATCCCCCCTCTGCTTTCCAAGAGACATACTGAGGACCCTTGACCACTTACAGCTCTCTGTCCTTTAGGAGGTTTTACTCCCCAGACCACTGACAACCCAAGGGAATTGATTGACACCTGTGAAACAGTTCTCATGCTCAACTTATACCACATTGTCTGCATCTAGCTCCTTCCCTTTCCGCTCTTACCTCTGCTTCCCTGGCCTGGGTCTCCACATCTAACCTGTTTCCCTGACCGTCACCTGTCAATCAAGGGCTGCTTTCACCTGTACTGGGGATGCCTCTCTGAAGCCTATCTCTGCCCCGTGATGCTAAGGGAGCTCTTCACCGAGAAGGTTTCTATTTTAAGACTTTAGCTGGTCTTGTGCACTGTGTTTGTGTCATACCTGTTCACACACAAATGTCAGAATTACTGTTGTTTCTGAGGCTGCTTTTTATGACAGATCTTCCCTTATGTCTCCACTAAGCAGTCTTGACCTCTAATAACTTTCACAGTATAAACAGTATTGTGCCTTGCTTCTGGTTATTCGTGGCATATACCTGCCTAGGCTGCAGGCCTTTCAAAGGAAACGACTGCACTAGTAATCCTACTGCGTTCATGACTATTCCAGGCTAGAGAACATTTGTCACATTCGATTTGTTTCATGGAAATATCTCAGAGAGAAAAGAAAAAGCAATACTCTGTGCTTGTGGGTCTATGAGACACTAGTGAATTTTGTTTTAGGATGATTGTGAGTATGCAAACAGACTAAAATCCTTCAGCTCTTATTTAGTGTGTTCTATTAGAAAAAGTAGGGTTTCTAAACACCAGGTGCCTGGGGCCCCACGCCCCCCTCCCCGACTCACCTCTTCTGGAACATGACCAGCTTCTCGGCTTTTAGGTCAGACATGTCCAGTTTTCTGCCCTTCTCTTTGACAGCCGGGTGCTTGCGCACAAGCAGCCAGCCCACGTGAGAGAAGAAAAAGCCACGCCGGGAATCGTGAGGGTCAGCGTGTGTTTCTGTGAACTTGTGGTGGACGCGGTGGTCTCGGGCCCATTCGTACACGTCATTCTGGGGGGAGGACAGAAAAGAGGACCCCAGGATGGAGAAGAGAAGCCAGTGCCTACTGAAGTCTAACACCCTTTCACTGCTTTCTGCTCTAACCGCAGCAAGGACTTGGCTTGCCCACTATGTCACTCATAGGACCACACTATTCACCTGGCCAGCCTCTTAGTAGTGACCAAGTGCAAAATGGACCTTAATCTCCTAAAACATTTTGAGGATCTAATGATTTCCTCTGTATCACAGATGCTGGCATCCTGCTTGCCACTAAAGTGTTATTATTTGCAACAGAGTCCCCAAATCTGTGACATATTACTTTTGATCTCATTGGGACTCTTGAGATAGGTACCTTACAGTATGCATTTATTGTTCACCGAGTGTTAAAGAAACCAGAGTCAAGCACATGACTTTAGTCCCAGCACTTGGGAGGCAGAGGCAGCTGGCTCTCCAGGTTCAAGGACAGCCTGGTCTACATAGTGAGTTCCAGGATAGCTGGAGCTACACAGAAACCCTGTCTCAAAAAACCAGACCAAACAAACAAAACAACCAGGGTCAGTGATTGGCTAATGAGCCACGGCTCATATGTTAAGCTGAGCAACCACAGCATAGCATCCCATACAACACACTGTTACGTGGGAGACTCAGGGAAAGCAGTGGCCCTATAACCAGAGCGTCTTCCAGTTAACTCCCATTTCCGATCCTGCTGACTCCCAGATGGCCCGTGCTGTGGGGACCTCAGCACTGAACATGCTCGTGTGTGACTATGGGAAAATGGGATGGATAATGGCTGCACTGTTAGCTCCTCTCGAGGTGCTTGCTGTATGCTACGCCAGCCTTCACAGGGTAGACACAGAGCCTCAGTCGGCAGCTTCTCACCTGGAAAGCCATGGTGTTGGCCACGATGAGAAAGAGCCGCAGCGGCAGCCGAGCCTTGTAAGTTCGGTGACTCCACAGGCGATGAGCCCCGGCCGTGATGCCCAAAGCGGCAACTATATTGTAGAATATCCCTATCAGGAGACAGCAGAGAAGTCACCAGCCGTTTGGAAGGGTGGAAGGATCTTTCGCTGACTCTCTAGTCTACTGTTTCTTCAGAAGTTAGTGAGATCCTCTCCCCTGAACCCTGACATGCCCCAGTCTTGTGATCTGGTGGCCTTGTGTACCCATTACACCCAGGTCTCCCTATCTAGAGATGGAGAAGCCCCCCAAAAAGAAAGGAATCAATCAAGACAGGCAACAGGACTCTCCCTGTCCATCTGCAGAACAGTACCCCTGAACCTGTCAACTCTGACCTTCCTCTAAGTTCTTCAGGGCCACAGATTAGTCCATTGTGCCTTGAAAAACAGCAATCACAGCAATTTGGTGTGATCAATTACAACAACCCCAAATTTTGAGAGATACTGAGGGATCACAGGTCTGTGCCAACTCACTAGTTGCGACAACAACATTTCAATATGATGGCAGGCAACATGCCTATAACAGGGCAAGTCAGTCCTACACAGAGTTATGTTTTCACAGTGGCCTGAGTTGTACCAACAATATTAATATTTTCACAATTACTGCACACCTTGGGAAGTGATCACTCCTTCATCTTGAAGAAGTAGATCATAGAAAAGGTTAAGTGTTGTACCCAGAACTTCACTATAGCAAAACTGTAGCCATTGACTGAAGCTGAGTTTTCTGTTAATAAGGCACTGTTCCAGCTCCACTATCCATCCCCCAAGTTCCCAAACCTCTCCTTCACCACGTTCCTCTGTCAGTCTGAATGCTTGCTGCCAATACAATGTTGGGTAACACTTAAGCAGGCAGCTGGAGGTGCCTACATTAGGGCAAGTCAACTTTGTTACATTTGTATAGTGGACTAAGGATGGTTATCACATCCTACCTCACTGTCTTTGAAGTCAAAGGCTTAGAAGTTTTGAGTGTTAATAGGGAAGGAAGCAGTCTGGCCTTGCTCTGTCCCCTGACTAAGGCTGTATCCATGAGGGCATGAAGGAGACTTTCAACAAAGCTTCACTCCTGCCGGCAGCTGGAAACCATGGCCCCTTGGAGGCCATGGAGGGTAGTTCAGGTTGAAGTTACAATACATTGTATAAACTGTCCTTCTAGACCCAGAAATGGCAGTTTCCCAAACAGCCTGTCCCCCTCCTGACGCATCCCATTCCTTCTTGGGATCACCACAAAGGCCACAGAGCCAGTGTGCAGCCAGGGAAAGTTCTGTCCCTCTGAGCTGGGACCAGACCTCAGTGGTTTGTGGTTGTGTTTAGATTGAGCCCTTCCCACAGATATGATCTGACCCTGAACCACAGAGGATCCAGAGTCCTGCAATCACAGGAGGAAAGAAAGGGCTGTGGCTAAAGCAGAAGCCCTCAGTGGAGCACCCAACAGTGACCGTGTTAGTTTTGTGTCACAGGTGTCCCTGGCACATTGGCTTTGCAAGCCCGAGCAGTGAGGACAAGGGGATTGTGACAAAAACCTAAACACTGTGGCCTGTCCTTCTCAACCCCTTGACTGTCACATAGACAGCTCAGTTCAAATAGACTAGATCCAGGACCCCCAGGGAAGGGCTGCTTGTGGCCATGGTGGTCATTAAACAGCATGCTGTAGCATTGTTCTAAGAAGTGGGCTAGAGAGTTTTCCCCTTTTGGCTCTCTGTGTTAACATCCCTGAAGGACAGGAGGCTCTCAAAGTAGCCGAGTGAGGAGAAAGGCTGGAAAAACACACAACAAACCTAAGGGATGTGACCTTCCTAATCTCGACAAAGCATTGATGTCCTCATTTGGTGCCTGGAAAACCGTGTTTCTGAGGGAGGGGTCCTCCTCTTGTATTTCCCTGTCACCCACAGTTAAGATGAAGTTCTGAGGACCAGAGTTTGTCGGCTGGAGGTTCCGAGAAGCTGAGAGAAAGGGCAGCCAACTTCTACACTGCTACCCTCCCAGAGGTAGCTACCAGAAGAGTCCTGTGTCTTCCAGAGAGAGACCCCTGGCTCACCATTCCTCAGAGGACAGTAAGGGGCCTAGCCTGCAGGGTCCTGTCTCCTCTTCCTGACCCAAGAATCAGAAGTCAGAGGTTAAACCACCTGAAAACACAGGTGTGTGTCCCAGGGCAGCCCTACCACAGCCCATACCCATGGATCCCTGAGGGGCTGAGCTAACCGGCAAGGGACACAGTGACAACTATCTTCTTGTTATAGCAGCCTGATGGCCAGGGTTTCTCAAGACTCCATTCTCTGTGCCTGGCTGTCCTTGGCAAGGAGGGATGGACAGGAGACAGGGGAAGGTGTTAGAAGGTTCTTGGCCCTTTGTCTTACACAGTCTCTGGAGACAGGGCAAGAGCGAGCTGCTCGGGGAATGGAAAGTGAACTGATTCTGAACCTCCTTTTTTATTTAAGAATATCTTGTTGACTGACAGGACCTACTTGGGGCAACAGAGCCACACCTGTGCACTTGGGCTGTTCAGGGATCCTGCTTCATCTTTCTCTAAGTCAAACAAGCACAGCCTGGCTGAAATCACGTACAGATACCTTTTGTGGGTTATCCTTTCTATTTCTTCCTCTCCGATGACCTCCTCTGAACAGTTTCCCCTTGCTCTGCCTCCTGATTAAGCAAACAGCCCATGGGTCCCTCATCAGGCTGTCATGCCTCCCAGTAAGGGCCTTGGTTTTCTTATGGCAGGCAATGCGGAGACAGGAAGCATTTTTAACAGGAAATCTTTCGAACACTGCCAATTCTTTGCTATACATTTGTCTCCTTCTCCATTCATATTAACATCCTTGCTAAAGGACTCCCAGAACTGACACTCCCGCATCCCAATCCCATGAGGCTCTGTTCCCGGTCTAGTTATCAGTATCTTAGGAAAGGAAGAGGCAATTCAAAAAATCTAGACAGAGCAGCCATGTCAGAGTCTATCTCATTCAAGAGTAGGGAGAAAGCTGGGGTACTGGCTCAGGACAGAGGGGTTGGGACAATTACCCAGGAGCCAGGTGTAGACCTTGCAGGACGGAGCCAGTGTGATCCCATACAGGGCCCCCAAGTGCAGCAGGGCCATGAGGATGATGTTTCTCCAGACGTACTCCAGCTTGGGCGGGGGCCCCTCCTCATCCTGGTAGCTGGGGTCGAGTATGTCTTCTCTCATCTCAGGACGGATGTCTTCTGAGTGGAGAGGCGTCTTCTCCACTTTCTTCTCTCTGCTCTGTTGACCCAAGGAGTGAGGTTCTATGATAGTGGTAATGCCACCGTTGCTGGGGATCTTCAAAGAGGGGGGGTGGAGGGTTAAGAACAGGTGCTTGGGGGTACCAGGGAGTCTATTTCCCCTGTAATACAGGCCCTGGAGCCCAGATCGTATGAAGATAGAGTATACCCCTAGATGGAACAGAGAAAAGTTCCCAGAAACTACACACAACGTGTTGACAAGTTAGCAGGGCAGTGGGGGTGTACGCCTTTAATCCCAGCACTCAGGAGGCAGAGACAGGCGGATCTCTGTGAGTTCAAGGACAGCCTGGTCTACAGGGCTAGTTCTGAGACTACTAGGGCTGTTACACAGAGAAACCCTGTCTCGAAAAATCTAATAAACAAACAAACAAACAAATAAAACCTCAAGGTGAAGATGAAGGGGTGGGGGTACAATATTTGTACCTAAAATAATATATAAAAGAAAATGCCCATGTATACAGAAAGGAACTGGCTGGAAGGAGTTTCTCTTTAAGTCAATTGCCAAAATAAACTCCACATCCCTCATTTGGAGGTCATACAAATCCCAAAAGATGTTCATGATGCCTCGGTGGCTCCCAGGTCTGGCCCCTACAAACCACTCATCAGAATCCCACCTGGTACCAAAACTCCTGAGCTGGGTTGGGGGGGGTGTCATTGGTGAAGAGCTGACCTCTCGTGGCAAGCAGGCCGACATCTCTGCTCCCCGGAAGCCTAAATCCTGGAAGCCTGGAAGTTCTGAAGGCTTCGAATGCAGTTTGGGATCCAGGTCTGCATCCGACTGAGGATGGATGAAACTTGGAGTCCAGAGGTCACCGTGTGCCGTGTACCTGGCCAGCTGTATGGTGCCACCACTCAGTCCTGCTGTGTGTGGATCTCTCCAGGCTCAGGATTTAAATGGTGGGTAGGGCTGGCAGTTGGTGACTGTGTCTGATATTTGCTCAGACATGCTTCATGTCTGCCAACAAGGGATAAAGTGTTCAGACCTGGCTGGTCAAGGCTGCCCCATGAGGAGACGAAGGCTGAAGGTGGCAGAGGGGAGGGGACAGCCAGCAGAGCCTGCAGTCACCTAAGGTGAGGCCATGGGGTACTGCACATACTAAGAGAGAATCACCTTTGTTCCAGTTCCTAGAGAGAGATTTTCAGAATGTTGCCAAACTTGGGCCAGGGGAATTCTGGTCTTCCCAGCTTCGGCGCCCAGGAGTCTGCTGTTCCCCTGGGGTTTTGTTCCTCTTTCCTTGCTTTCAATCTATGGACCCTGGGTGCCTGCGGGGATCTTAGCTCAGAGAAGCTAGGGTCTAATTCTCTTGCTTCAGAGAGTGTGCAAACTGTTCTCAAAATGGAAGAGCGAGTCTTGGGGTGAGAGCTAGTCTAAGCTCAGGACTATCATGGATGCTTGGCAAATGTGTCACACTGGGGCAGCTGCACAGTGAGGACCTCTTATCGGCGCCCATCATAGCTCCGTGTTCTCTTTCCATTCCCCAGGTGTGTTGTGTGTGTAGTGGGGACTGGCCACCGCCCCCGGGTCCCGAGACAAGAGCAGGTGCATGGCCGCCTTCTTGCTCAGCACCGAAGGCTGAAGCGGCTCCTTCCCGCCCACCTCCTCAGGATGCTCACCAGGGATCCAGAAGGCTCTGACCAGCTCACACCTACAGTCACATGCACAGAGCTGAGTGACTGAGCCCACGCTCAGTCACAGGACATGTTTCACAGGGGACAGCCACCTCCAGACGTTAGTATCCAATCCCTTCCCTAGATGCCTGCCTCCAGAACATCTGCTTCAGCAGGCAGGCATGAAGACTATCCCGTCAGGTTGGAATTTTGGAGTCTTCTGTAAGGAAAAGGCAGGAATCCCAGCCAAGTGTCTACAGGCAGCAGAGGGGCAAATGTTTGCCTGTGGAATAAGAGCTGTAAGCAGGTGCTTAGTGATTCTTACAAGCTAACTTAAAAGCTTTTGCTAAAGGCTCCTCATGACCTAAGATTCCATCTTAAGGAGGGGGAGATTGAGATGTGGAGATATCAGCTAATTTGCCCGTAGTCCCAGGAGAGCTAGAAACTGCTCACAGTACTGTGATACCAGAGCCCAAGCTCTTAAACTCTGCTTAGAATGATGCTGCTCTAGAGCCAGGCAAATAGATTTCACAGTGCATCCTCACTAGCTCCATGGCAGAGCAGGGAAGCTCAAACTGGGAGCTTTGCATTCACCGGGTCTCCTGAGACAGACGCTTTCTTTTCTTCCAGGCAAAGGAAAGTGTAAGAGGACAAGCATGTCCAACTTCTCACTCTGTGACAGCTTCTGTGACACCCTCCATCCCTCCCCGAGTTGTCAAGTGGGGGGTGGGGGACTCCACTGTTCATTTTGCTTTGTTCACAATTTAATTTTCACAGGTATATTGAGAACTTTGTACTGCGTGTGGTGGCACATGTCTGTAGTACTAGCACTTGAGAGGCAGAGGCGAAGTCAGAGGCAGGAGGATCTCTGTGAACTTGAGGCCAGCCTGATCTACAGAGTGAGTTTAAGGACAGCTAGGGCTAAACAAAAAAACTCTGAAAGAGAAACCACACCACACGCGTGTGCGCACACACACACACACACACAGTTTGCAAGCACATCTTACCTATCTATAAACTATAAGCTTCCTTTACAGAAAGAACCCCGACTTTTCTTTGCTTTCTCTAGCTCATTACAGAATTTCTTACAGGAATTAATTACTCAATAAACACTTCCCAGAGAAGAGAGATGAGTTACGAGATATGACGAGGGATCAGAGAGTATTATAATTTGCTTGAAATCCAATCCGTATATAAGAATTGAAGAAACCTATCACAGCGATTAAAGAAGTGGGTGTGGGTATGGCATTGTCTAGTGCTAGTGGGAAAGTAGAGAAATGGAAACTTGAACACTGCTTATGGGCTTGGAAGTTGCTCTGACTGAAGAATAATCTATTCGCACCTAAGAAAGGCAAGTGTGTATATACTCCATCATCTAAACATTGCAACTCCCGAGAAACTATTTTCTTCAGTAACTTTAAATGTGGCAATTTTTGCGTTTGTTTGTTTGTTTGTTTATTTTGTGTGTGTGTACAATTTTCAGCACTAGGAAATCAAACTTGTGGCCTTTCCCATGTCCTACCACTGAGCTACATTCCCCAGCTCCTGGCTTTTCAAGAGGGTTTCACTATGTAGTTCAGGCTAGTTTAAAACATCGAATCCTCCTGCCCCAGCAAGAGTAGTTGGAAATTTCATGGGGTTTGTTTCCTATTGTTTTCAGGGAAAATCACAGAGCAGCAGATTAACACTCCAACACAAAGTTGGAAGAGATTACCAGCAACTAGGTCAAACAATTAGATCTCACATGTCATCAGCCCTGTGAGCGAGAGCCTTAATACCAGCAATCAGGAGCTTGAAGCAGGGTCATCAATTTGAGGACACTCTGGGCTACAAAACCAGACTCTGTTTCAAAAACAAAACTTAAAATCCTACTCAGCACTTGGGAGAAAGAGGCGGTTGGTTCTCTATGACTTTGAGGCCAGCCTGGCCTGTGAAGTAAGTTCCTGGCCAGCCAGAGCTACATTGTGTGAATCTAACATTTACAAGGGATACTTTTAAACTCCTGTGTCGAAAATGTTCATTAAAAAAATGAAATGGAGAAGACCCCGGGTGACTGTTCACAAGAAGAAGGACAACCATAAACTCAATAAAACGCTCAGCACTAAGTGTTCAGAAAATTGTCTTTAAAAGTTGTTTGTGGGGCTGGAAAGATGTCTCAGCAGTTAAGGGGACTAAGCTCTTGCAGAGGACTGGGCAAGGTCACATCATTAACATCCTCCCTGGCACCAGAGAGTCTTTAATAATTGAGAGGCTGTTAAGCTCAGGGCCACATAAAATGTTTCTAACTCACTTGAAAGCGCAAATGGCATTATTAGAATATGGAAGCCAGGAGCTTTTCTCTATCACATGCTAATGCTCTGTGTTACCAAGGGCTAAAGGCCTTGGTGCTGACTATGGACCAATACCTCTGAAGCCATAGTCCCAATAAAACGTCATGTAAGCTGATTTTGTTATTGTGATGGACTAACACACTGGCTGTCATTCTTTCTCAAGTAACATGGACATTATGTGTCTTAGTCATTGCTCTATTACTGTGGGGAAATGCCATGGCCAAAGGAACTCATAAAAAACAAAAGCATTTAGTTGGGGGCTAGCTTACAGTTTCAGAGGATTAGTCCATCATCATCATGGTAGGGAACATGGTGACAGGCAGGCAGAAAAATACTGAGCTTCAAGCTGAAGATCAGAAAAGCAAAGCAGCCAGCCAGTAGCTCTTACCTCTACCAGTGCTGAAATGGAGGTCCTGCCTTCCCTGTGACAGGAAACTGAATCTCCCATGAGACCCTTTGCTTCTTCCTCTCTAGAGCTCGGATTAAAGGCATGAGCTCTGCTACTCTTTTAGACTGATTCACTCTTGTGCAGCCCAGGGTGGTCTTGAACTTACAAAGATCCATCTGCCTCTGTCTCCTGAGTCCTGGGATTAAAGGTATGTGCCACCACTGCCTGACATCTATGGCTGACTAGTGTGGCTAGCTTTGCATTTTGACCCCCAGGCAAGCTTTATTAAATCATAAACAATACATCACCACGAGTAGCTGCTGAAAGCTACATCCTGATGTACAGGCAGACGGGAGAAAGAGGGAGAGAAAGGAGAGAGACAGACTGGGCCTGGCATGGGCGCTGAAACCTCGCAGCGACAAGCCCCTCCCACAAGGGCACACCTCCTAATCCTTCCTACCCGTCAGGGTCTAAGCATTCACATATATGAACCTATGGGGGTCATTCTTATTCAAACCACCACATTATGCAAGAAAAAACCCCCAAGTCAATTCAGCTGACAATTAAAATGATCACATTTCCACTCATGATGACTATACATCCTTGATTCAGAGCGGAAACCCTCATGTACACGTCTGAGTCCTGACACAGACCTTTAAAAAGATGTGTTATAAAGGGTCAAGATTGAAGTCTCTGAATGAGGTTTGCGTCTTTAGTGAGGACCATCAGAACTGCCATTGAATCCTCAGTGGCGGTGGCGAGGAGTATGGCAGAACAAGCACTCTGGAGCTGCTCCTCACCTGTCACCGCAGACTTCACCCACTATTGCTTTGGTTCCATCAACACAAATGTCAACACTTGATGGCTGTGCCAGCTAGTTTTATGCTAACTTGACACCAGCTAAAGTCATCGGGGAGGAAGAAGCCTCCGTTGAGAAAATGCCTCCATGCCAGGAGATGGTGACGCCCACCTTGATCCCAGCACTTGGGGGACAGAGGCAGTAGGATCACAGTGAGTTCGAGGCCAACCTGGTTTACAGAGTGAGTTCGAGGACAGCAGCCAAGACTGTTACACAGAGAAACCCTGTCTCAAAAATTCAGAGAGAGAGAGAGAGAGAGAGAGAGAGAGAGAGAGAGAGAGAGAGAGAGAGAGAGAAGATGCCTCCATAAATCTGGCTTTGGAAAGACTGTAGAGCATTTTCTTAACTAGTAATTGATGGGGAAAGGCCCATCCCATCATTATGATGAAAATTATATTAAGATTGAACAAATTGTTAATGCAAGACTGGTTATAAAGATGATTCATGTGGACCAGATTATGGAGTTGGGCGCTTATAGAGTGTTTAGGGTTAGGGTTAGGGTTAGTGTTAGGGTTAGGGTTAGGGTTAGGGTTAGGGTTAGGGTTAGGGTTTGGACTCTGAATTAGTGGGCATCAAGTATATCTTCACACTTTAGGCATTATCTATTCTAGATCATAATGACAATTTCAACAGATTTTTTTTTTTTAAACTATTATGATAGGGCTAGCCAGATGGCTCAGTGGTTAAGAGTACTGACAGCTTTTTCAGAGGACCCAGGTTCAATTCCCAGCACTCACATGGCAGCTCACGACTGTAACTCCAGGATTCACCACCCTCACACAGACACACATGCAGGCAAAACACCAAATGCACATAAATAAAAATAAATTAAGTTGGCGTGATGACTTGAGAGACAGAGGCAGGCAGATCTCTGTGAGTTTGAGGCCAGCTTGGTCTACAAAATTAGTTCCAGGAAGGACACAGCCATGGCTCAAAGACAGAGAAACCCTGTGTCAAAAATTATTTTAATTAATAAAATAAATCATTAAAAACATTACTCCTAGTCTGGTGGTAGTGGCTGACTCCTTTAATCCCAGCACTCGGGAGGCAGAGGCAGGCGGGTCTCTGTGAGTTTGAGACCAGCCTTGTCTACAAGAGCTAGTTCCAGGACAGGCTCCAAAGCTACAGAGAAACCCTGTCTCAAAAAAAAAAAAAAAAAAAAAAAAAAAAAAAAAAAGAAACAAATTTATTCCTTTAAAAATAGATTTAAAAGGAAAATAAAATTCCAACATGATCAAGATGATCCCAATGCAGTTTTTTTCCACGCTTGACTTGTTTTCCTACAGCAGATTTCAAACTTTGGTCTTAATGGCATAATCCACGCTGGAGATTACCAACCAGCAATTCTGTTTGACTGACTCTTTAATAGTGGGGGAGGCCTTGGTCCAAGTCGGGTGGGAAAACCTGTGCATTAGCATCCAGTGCAGCCAGCATGACGATACACCACGTTTACCAAACAGCTCAGAAATGCTCCATTCCCCTCACCTACCATGCAGCCTCCCTTTCCAGCCTAAGAAACCATCAACACACTACCTCCTCATCCCTCTGCCCACTCCTCACTATCTCTGCCTGGCTTACTGCCCGGACATCTTTTAATAATTGATATCATCTAAAATGTTATTTTAAGTCAGGCGTGACGGCACATGTCATTAGTCCAAGCACTGGGGAATGTAGAAGCAGGTGGCTCTTTGTGAGTTGGAGGCAATCCTGTATACATAATTTGTTCCAGACCAGCCAGAGCTACATAGGGAAAACCTGTTGAGAGAGAGAGAGAGTGTGTGTGTAGGGAACCATGGAGTTGGCCTTTCCTAGCTGCCTTGAGAGACATGCATCATAGGTTTCTCAGGTTGGAGTCTGTGGCTCCTGGGGTACAATGTGCCTTCCAGTTCCTGAGAGACTGATGCACTCCTCAGGTAGTGAAGCGTTCAGCCTGCTCTGCTCTTCTCTGTATGTCCCCTCAGAAGTCAGAGAAACATGGAGGCTTGACAGGACAATTGGTCTTAGACATTCATCTTATGTACCCTGTATGACTTGCAAATGTCACTGTGTCCTGGCAACTGCAACTGTATTGATCCTGGCAACTGCCATTATATTTTGCTTCTAGAAAAGGTATAAAAAGTCTGAAAAAAAATTGTCACAGCCTCAGTTGTGCTGTGGTCCCATCAATCTGGCGTGATGTCATCCCTCACTGCCATATCAGGGGACCTTGGCCTGGTAAAGAAATGCCGGCACTTAGAGAGAGAGAGAGAGAGAGAAAGGGAGAGAGAGGGAGAGAGGGAAGGAGGGAAGGAGGGAAGGAGAGACAGATGCTTGACAGACTGTGAGCTGCTCCTATGTGAGCCAGGGAAGTAGTCAGAGTAAGAATAAATAGACCCTATTCCAAAGAGAGGCAGCGGGGAAGCTTCAGAATCCAGAAAGCCTACCAAAGAGGAAGACACGCAAGGCAGCGGCGGCATCTTCAATTGCACAGCTGCCTGGTAGGGGGGGAAGACAGAAGTAGCATTCAAAAGGTAAACCAGGTAGCCCTGACAAAAGCAGACTGGCAGTCCCACCCTCAAGACAAACCACAGCCCTCACAGGCCTCCAGTCAGGCAAACCCATGGTCCTCACAGGCTTCCAGTCAGACAAACCCATGGCCCTCACAGGCCTCCAGTCAGGCAAACCCATGGCCCTCACAGGTTCTCAATCCAGTTGCAGCTTTGGATTCCTCTGGCAGTCAGGCCAGGTGACTAGAAATCCCATTTTGTCACAATCTATGAACTAGAGGCAGTGGCCATTTTTACAACTCCTTTATTTGAAACTGACTACTCTAGAGTCGTGGGATCAGGGACCACAGGTCAGGACCTCAAGTTGGCCTGCCACGGGAAAGTGAGGCAGTTGTGGGGAGCAAGGGAACCAGATGCTGGTAAGCTGAAGGGCACAGGAGGCAGGAGGCTCAGCTCCATTGGACTTGCATAGAGAAAGATGGGTGGGTGGAGTTTAATGGCTCTGAGGCCAGTGGGTGGGTAAGTCTCTGTGGCCTTCCATCTGTCACTGATTGCCCAGAGTGTACATGATACCCAAACTGCATCCCTCCAGCAGGGGTCAACACTCACAAAGGCAGGCACCAAGGTCAATGCTGTGATTTTTTGTTGTTGCTTTGGTTTGGTTTTTTGTTTTCGTTGGAGACAAGGTTTCTCTGCATTGCTTTGGAGCCTGACCTAGAACTCGCTCTGTAGACCAGGCTGACCTCAAACTCACAGAGATCCTCCTGCCTCTGCCTCCCGAGAGCTGGGATTAAAGGCATGCACCACCAACACCCGGCAATGCTGTGATTTGTATACACACTCCCAAGGTATGTGGGAGACACCTTCCAGCTAAAGCTTCACCCAAACCTGGAGTTACAATGTGGGTAATCTCAGGAGGGTAAGAAAATCCAACCAGACTGCAAACTAAAACATAAGTGTGGCCAGCAGAGGTTGCTAATGTGCAGTGGAGGGAAGCTACCAGGGTGAGTTTACAGCCAGCAGAAATCAAACACTAACCCAATAGCCACAGCATAAACCGCAGCGGTGGCAAGAGTCCATGCGCTCAGCTGACCCTCCTCTACCTCCAAGCTTACAACTAGTCCTCAGTTATTTAGGACCCAGAAAGGAGCTGACCTAAGACTCCACCTTTGATTTTTAACCCTATGATTCCCTTTTACTATACTTTTACATTATTTTAAAATTTTGATGATTTCATTGCTATCCCCTTACTATATCCATCTAATTTTGCTTACACATTTTCTTTCTTTTTCTTTCTTTCTTTCCTTTTTTTTTTTTTTTTTTTTTTTTTTTGAGACAGGGTTTCTCTGTGACAGACCTGGCTGTCTTGGAACTCACTTTGTAGACCAGGCTGGCCTCAACTCACTGAGATCCACCTGCCTCTTAGTCTCGCTCCCACTTCCTGAAATTACATTTTTGCTCCTAGATTTCTGGCACTTCCTCATTTTGCTGTGTCCCCTTTGAGAGTTGCTACTTGCTCAGATTCTTTTGTAAATATAACCATTATTTTTTTTCATACTTAATACTCTATCTCAAGTAACTTAATAACCATCTCAAGTAACCAAATGCCTTTTCATTTGCATTTTACCCATTTACTTCTGCAAGCAGTCTTGACCCGGGGCCCCACATAAACTAAGCCAGCCCTCTATGCACACACCCCTGCTCCAACTCCCCAGACTGTTTGCTTTTGTTCTAGGATTTCTTCCATGGAAACTATGTAATCAGTTTTCTCCTGTGTGACTATAAACTCTTTAGATCTCACCCCCCCCCCTTGTTTTTTTTTCCCTTTCTTTTATGAAACAGGGTTTCTCTGTGTGGCCCTAGCTATCCTGAAACTCACTTTTTAGACCAGGTTGTCCTGAAACTCATGGAGATCCACCTGCCTCTGCCTCCCTAGTGCTGGGATTAAAGGCATGGGCCACCATGCCTGGTATAGGTCTTCCAGACCCCACATCCTGATTCTCAGGCGCCAACTAGGTAACATTTCTGGATATATATATATATATATATATATATATATATATATATATATATATGTGTGTGTGTGTGTGTGTGTGTGTGTGTGTGTGTGTGTGTGTGTGTGTGTGTATTTTCCACTCCCGCGTTAAATATTGACTCCCTAGTCCCAGTCCAAACCTGCTTCTGTTCCAAGCTTCCTATTATAGTTGATACAGAGGCTGCCCCTACAACACTCAACCAAAATCCTTTCGTGTACATGTCCCCCACCCCGCACCCACTTCACACACTGATCAACTGAATGTCTATTCTGATCCTAAAACACTTTTCGCATGTGTCCTTCCTTTTCCATTCCCATGCCCCTTACTGGAGTTTTCCAAAGCCTGAATGTAGCCTTCCAGCCCATGCGGTTCCCCTCTGCCGTCACAGTAACTTTCTTAAATATCGAGCCTTCTTGTTTTTGCCTGAATCGCTTGAACATTATTTGAGGACTGACTCCTTGTAAGACTCTAGGCAAACTCTCACCGGCTCCCCAGCATCCTCCCCCTCCCACTGCCCACTCCACGCCCCTTCGTGCAGTGACATTGGCCTGGAAAGCTCCTCAACGCTTCAATGCTGTGCTTTCCAGCCCTACCCAAATTGCCGTCTGTCTGTTGGCTAACTCCTGGCGCTCAGCCTTATGCACCATAAGCATTTGTACTGTGTAGACGAAAATAAAACGCGTGCTGTTTTGTCTCTCTCTCACACACACACCCCTGGAGACAGCTGGTGACCAGCGCCCACACTGAAGGTCACAGGAGGGGCAGGGCTGGCCTTGCAGAGCTCAGGGCGCTGCATCCCTAGGAATCTCTTCATTGGCTGCATCTGTGACCGCACTGTCCGCGGGCTCCTCCGGGGTAGGCGGGGACAGAGCCCGGTGCGGCTGCTGATTGGCTGTGTGGGGTCAGGCGCTGTGGGCCGAGTGGACGGGAGTGACACTGGGGGGGGCGGGTGCTGACCGAGAGTAACCCCGGGAGGGGCTGCTCGCCTGCCCCTTCCTTGCCCTCGCTCTAGCTGGACCTCGGAGGGCGGGCACTGGCAGAGGGCCAGGACTAGAGGAAGAAGAGCGTTGCTTGCTTCCTTCTGTCTCAGGTCTTCGGCTTAACCTGTGTTGGAGTTTAATAGGGCTCCGTGTGAAGTCTCTAGGACAGTAGCTTATGGTATCACATGGCTCTGTGTGCTTGTATGGGGAGGTAGGTGGGGGTTTTGGCGATCCAGGGAGGGGGGCTACACTGCCTGTTCTGGAACTGAAGGTTCTGAGATTGAAGGCATGCCTGAGGTTTTTGCTAAAGGAATCCTGCTAGTACAAGCGCAGCTTCTTCCTACCGGAAGAGGGGTGGTCTTCCCCAAAGGAAAAAGAAAAAAGGGACAAATGTTATGGTGAAGGATCAAGGGTGTCATTGCTGGTGTTGAAAACTGTTTACCCCAGAGTTGGAGAGATGACTCAGTGGTTAAACAGCACACACACTGCCCTTCCAGAGGGCCTGGGTTCGATTCCCAGCACCCTGACACCTTCACACCAATGCAACCGAAATGAATTTAAAATAAATTATTAAAAAGTAAAAGAAAACTGCTTACCCCACAAAAAATGAACATAATTATCACAGGAGAAATCCCATTCCTGTGAACACAAATTAGCAGAAAGCAGGTGCTAAAATATTTGTACATGAATGTGTAATGTGCACTATTCATAGTGGCCAAAAGGGGGCACTATTCATAGTGACCAAAGGGGGGGGGGGGGGGGGGGGCTCAAATGTTGACCACAAATACAATGTAATAAAGAGGAGTGAATGTGAAGGTGTGAGGTATGAACTGGAGAAGACTACTTGGACACAGATTTAAGTCAATAGGAAATCTTGATTAGCTGACTGGTGACCGACCACACTGCGTGTTCCCCAGCGTAGCCCTGAACCTTTCTAAGGGTGAACTTATGCGTACAAAAGCTATGCCCTTGGCAGACACATCTAAGCAAGAATGGTTATCCACAAGGGGAACTACAGAAGCCAGAAAACAAGGTTAGTACGTTTAGAGACTTCCAGAGCTACAGACTTTGGTGGACTGGGTCTTGTTTTTCATTTTGCCAGGTGTTGCTGCCTCCTTGCTGGGTTCCAAGGCATGAATAGTATTTCCATCATGGTGTCAGTTGTGTTATGATCTGAGAGCCTACCAAGGTCTGGGAGCCTGTTACTCAGAGACACACAGGACACTATGCTGGGACAGCAGCAGACACACACTGTATGACTGTTTCTCTGAAATATGCACAATTGGTCTGTAGAAAGCATATTAGTAGCTGCTGCAGTGTGAAGGCCATGAGGAGTCTTCTGAGTATGGAGTTTTCTTTTGGGGTAAGGGTGATGAAGATGATGAGGCCAGAGACACCTTAAACCCCAGCATTAGGGAGGCAGGGGCAGGGGCTAGCCTGGTCTACAGAGTGAGTTCCAGGACAGCCAGTGCTACAGAGATAACCTTGTCTCAAAAAGTCAGATGATGGGGGTTGGAAAGATGGTTCAGCAGTTAAGAGCACTGGCTGCTCTTCCAGAGGACCTGGGTTTAATTCCCAGCACCCACATGGCAGCTCATAACTGTAACTCCAGTTCCAGGGGATCTGACACCCTCATATGGATATATATGCAGGCAAGCCACCAATGCACATATATAAAAACATTTAAAAGAATACTTTAAAAGCCCAAACAAACCAGATGATGAGGAGATTAACAATAATGGTGCTTAAGCAATATTAGGAATATATTATGTGCCATGGAATTGTGGCCTTTAATATTGTGCCTTTATAATGTCATTCATTAATTCAGTTAGGGTTTTTTTTTTGTGTGTGTGTGTGGTTTTGGTTTAGGTTTTTCAATATTGAGAATGTAATCCAAAGTATCCTGCATGCATGACAAGAGTTCTACCTACATTAGCAGCCTTAAAAATCAGTCAATCAATCAATCAATAAAGCATCTAACTTCTATGTTGAGGAAAAGCCACTTCGGTTAACAAGTGTAACTAACACAAATAGACTCAGAGGAGACTTCCTCTTATCCCCACCCTCCACTTCTACGGTGGAGGGAAGCTCTGGGCTGGCCATGCCTTTCACCACCACCTCTCTCTCATCCCCTCTCCTTGCTCACAGAATCTTCTGCAGCCTGGCCCTGACTACACATTGTTCCTTGTGGGAAATTGCCAAGATGCTAATGGACTCTTGGATGTCCCCAGCACCATGAATCAGCACAGCATACACAGCTCTTTTGTGAGGTCTCTGTTGCCTGGGCAGAGCAGGCTGGGCAAGATAGTGTGGGAGGGGCGGTCACCAGAGGAGGAGGCCTCTTTCTGCCTGCAGCAACAGATAGAATCTGTCCCTTGGGGAGCTTATCATTTGGGCTTTATGGCATTTGCTCAAAAGGTCAGTGCTTTCTTTGTGGCATAGAACATTAAGTATAGGTCACAGAACAGGGCTCCCACTTCCTGTGACATTCACTATTGAGTACCACTGTTGAGGTGCGGGGAGACATTTGCAATAGAGGAAGCTGCCCATGAGATGCTCAGAACTGCACCTGAGGCCAGGCTCAGCACTATTTCGATGGTCTGAGAGGTGAGCTTAAAACTCAGCACTCAGGAGGAAGAGGCAGACGGAAATCTGTGAGTTCGAGGCCAGCCTGGTCTACAGAGTGAGTTCCAGGATGGGTTCCAAAGCTCACAGAGAAACCCTGTCTCATAAAACCAAAATAAATAAATAAGTGGCTAGAAACTTCAGGTGTGGTGCAATACTAAGGTACTTAACATGGAGGAGAGAGAGTTGGGTTTCTTGGTTCATTAATCAAGTTCAGACAGGGTGATGGTGACTGCTTGGAACCAGACTGGAGCACCACAGCACTCGAGACTTCTAAGTGGATCCAGCTGCCACATGGGTCAAGCCAAGCAGGTCCTATCACCTGCTTCTGATGTGAGATGGGGCATCTTTCAGCTTTTAGCTTACCACTGCATCTTCCAGCCTAGCAGACTCAGAACTCGACTGTCCAGTTTCGAAAGATACTGGGTTTGGATTTGTTTGGCACAAACCCTTTTCACTCATGAAGATGGTATCTGGCTTTTCCCAACCACTGTAGTGTGATGTGGCAAGATTGTCATCTCAGAATCTACATCATAGCAGCTGCTTTTTGTCGTGTGGTTAGCTTGTGCTTTTCAAGTCTGAGATCTGCAACCACATCACTGCAGTGTCCTTCCATCAAAGTCTTGAACTTGTGCTTTTCAAGTCTGAGATCTGCAACCACATCACTGCAGTGTCCTTCCATCAAAGTCTTGAACTTCGCCGGTGCTTCTTTAGGAAGTCTTCATTTGAATCTCAGCCTCTACCAGCACTAAACAATAACGTGCAAGGTGTTCTTCTCATTTAACATTTCTTACCTAATATTTCTATCTAGAAAGAGAGACAATAATTATGACAGTCTAAACTTCAACCTCATCAAAGACCTGAGAAGGAGGATGACAATACTAGGGTGGGCAGGAAGTGCAGATGGGCAGCTTCCAAAAGGTGCAGCAGAAACAGCAGGCTACCTGGACAGTCACCCAAAGTCTCACAGCAGGGTTGGGGCAGCCAGCTTTGGCTAAGGCCTAGAGTATCCGACAGACCACTACAGAAGCAGGGAGGTAGAAAGGCTGTCTTACCCTGGCTTGGCAAGATTCAGCAGCCTTCTGTTTGTCTCCTGCAAGCACAGTAGGACAGCTTGTCCAAAGTCAGTGGTTGAGGTGGGGGAAGTTCTTTGCCCAAAAGGGGAGAGGACAGACTCCAGAAGGAGCAACATAAATAGCCCAACATAAATAGCTCGGTACTGTCAGGAGCAATAGTGTCTCATGTCAAGGGAGTACTAACAGTAAAACATTTAAATGTCATGTTTTTCAGGTCTATGAAGTGTTAGCTAACAACTATGTCTGACTAATCTCATAGGTATAAGAAACATGGGTGAAGATAATCTGTAATACTCAGGAACATAGCTATACAAACAGTTGAAATTTCCCTAAGTAATTACCAAGGACAATGATTTTAGCTATATATATATATATATATATATATATATATATATATATATATCAGAGGTAGAATTAAAATGTCTTCATGTATAGTGCAACATAAAAAATATCCTAAATTGTATCAATATACAAAATGTCTTGGACATATGTAAAAGTATACATACTGTGTAGCTTCAGAAAAAGTAGAAAAGGCTAAACAAGAGGAAGCAAATCCCACCTGTCCCATCCCGAACCCCTTCTGGATGGCTGCATTCTACTGGTTATTACAGAGCATTAGCATGCTCAGAAGCTACCTGTGCCTTGAAGACAAGATGCTCCCAAGGCAAGAATGAGCTGGACTGCTCAACCTGAGCTACAAGGGTAGATCTGCCCTTCAGGCGAGGTTGGTTAGATCCATTTGGCCATGAGATACAGAGAAACCTGGCACTTTTCCAAACCAAGGTGTCTGTCAGCTGGCGATATTTTTGGTTTGCCGCCAACTGACTACTGGTTTCCTGTTGCCGGAACTGAGCCTCAAATTAAACCTAAGAAAGGCAGAGCAGGTTACTGGGGTATGACTCAAACCGTGTGACTTCTAAATTCTTTTTCTCTCCTGAAGGTGAAGAACACGGGTCGGGTGATGAACCAGACAGATCCTGGGAGAATGGTGTTCAAGTCAAAACACTATGAGACATGTTGCAGTCAGATCCATTTCATTTTATTATGAATAAACACAACCTCAGATGAGTAGAAATACTTTCAGAGTTGGTATTAATGAAAATTATTAGATTACAAATAACTACTGTTGCACATAATAAAGGAAAAATCCCACCCAAGGAAGGAAATGGAGTCCTGCATGTTTTCATAGCAATGAGTATACATTATCTAACGCATCTGTTCAGTCTCTGAAAAGTGTGACGTAGATTAACAATGTCATCTGGGACATAGGCACGTGTCAAGTCCATGGTGGACATTTACTATAAAAATGTGCAGGACTTAAATATTCCTCTGCAGAGGGTCCCCAAATGTTTTATAAAGAGCATTTGGTCATGCTCAAACCTACCCACTGAGGTAGGCCAGGATTATTATCCCAGTTTCACAGAAGTAATACCGAGTCACATTACTGGTAAGTGACATGTCCAGTGCTATGGTTTGAGTTTGTCCCACGGTTCATGGGTTGGAAACTTAATCCCCAATGCAACAGTGTTGACAGCTGGGACCATTAAGAGCTGATTAGGTCAGGAGGGCGCTTCCCTCGTTAACATCCTTATCCAAGGAGTGAATTCATTATTGTCAAGAGTGGGACCATTACAGAACACTGAGTGGCAGGAGGCCATGGCCTGCACCACCAGCATAACATGGCCACTGCTTTCTTAACTTTCTATTAACCTATTTCAACTAAAGAAGACGCTCAGGATACTAGCAAACCATGAAGAAAAGCTTTCTCTTTAAATGCTACAACCAGCGTTTAATCTTAAAACAAAGAGCAAAACCTACGAACCGCACACGTTCAAATTACTTCCACCATCCATCAGCTATGGGCACTCATCAAGACAGCCCTAAGGAAAGTCCCCAAAATGAAGCCCCCATTGGGAATACTGCAAATTGATGTACAGCGAATCCTCCAGCCAGGTCAGCTAACACCCGCCACATTTATAGGCCTCTCTGGTTTTAAGGGACCCCACAGAGGAAGCGAGTGCAGGCTCACAAGCAACGGATTAGAGAAGAGGTAAGGCACCCAAGTCAGATTTGAGCGTGTCCACAAGGCAAGGACTGTTAGAAAGTCACTCAGCCAGATCTTAGTTTCTTATTAATGTATCACATGATTTGAGCTTTAAAATCTTGAAAGAAGTATTGTATTCCTTAGTGAGCTGGTACACCACCCTTATTATCAGATACATATATGATGGGTCCTCAGCCACAGCATGGTTCAGATCCACGGGGCAGGCTTAGAAGAGAAAGTTGCTTTGTTTTTCACATAGTAAGTGGGCACCTGATAACCAGTGGAACTAAAATGACCCAAAAGGCATTTCCAAGGAATAGGGTCACATATTTTAATGAACAGCTAAAGGATAAGGCTGCTATTATGTGGGCACATAGAGCTTCTGAAGCCTCTATTCAACTAACACAGGAAGACTGTTCCATCCAACCACTGGGGCTCAGGGTATATATAGCATTTGGTACAGCCAAACTTACAACAGCAGGGCTAGATAGGCCAATTAGTTTGCTGAATAAAATCTCTTATGCAAAGCCCATGGCATCTCAGATCTCCTGTCTTAGCCAAAGCTTGGCAACAGACTGTGGCTGCAGTCTATGGGATCCCAACTGAGCCACTTAAGACCTTGGTTCTTGTGTTTCCCATTTAGCTAACACGTCCTCCTCCTTCTACAAGCACCACAGCCTCACCCAGGAGGACTGATGAGCCTAGAGCTTTGCTGAACATTCGGGAGTAATGAGCATGTTGAGGCTGAAAAATAGGAACCGTGTCTTTCTTGTCCTGTCCCCGGGCACACTGGCACAACAGGAACATTTGTTTTGGAACGACTCACGAGACAAAGAGCCTCTCTGAGTCAGGGATATTTCTAGAAAGCTTGCCAAACTTTTTCTTTACAGTTTCCAGAATATCAGAAGCCTGAGGGGCAGAGGTGGAGGATCTGAAATCCACTGGAAATGGACAGCCAGCTCTACTTACTACTGATAAAGCACTGTATCTCTGCCCAGGAAGCTGCTGGGGCTACAAATTTAGTGCCTGTAAACACAGGACATTTCTGCTTAGAGCAAAACAAAATGTCAGAAAACAAAACCACAAAATTGGGTAGGAAAAAGAAGCAGACGTGGTAGAGTTAAGAGATTTTTAGGCCATGTGTCCCAGGCAGAGTCCTCCATGTAGGCTGGACGGTCAAAGAGCCAGTGAGGCATGAGTCAGTTCTGTAGGGAAAGCCTTGTGCTAAAGAATGAAGAGCTAATATCTAACCTGTCTCACTAGAGCATCCTGAAACTCTGAAAGCCCCTGGCAGTGTGTTCCTTCCTCGCAGTTTCTCCTTTGAAAAGTTATTAAGAGCTGCCTGCAGTGTCTTCCAACTTTTTCCTCCTGCTGCCCAACAGTGGGAGGAACAGACAACGTGTTTAGTGTCTCTTTTCTGAGGGACGCACTCTAATTAGTATTTGTAGGTTTCAGGACACACTTAATGTCTCTTCGGTCTTAACTGGGGCTTAAGTTCAATTCTTCAAATGCTTCCATTGCCTGATGCATGAACGCACCACAGCCACCCTCAATTTATGGGGGCAACCAGAGGGAAGAGCGGGAATTAAGATTTGGGTGTGTAACCCACAGAATGATCAAAAAGTATGAGTGACTATCCTCGTCCATTCCCAACATGCCTCACCTGAAGATGTCTTGCTCTGCATATCCTTGTAATCTATTTACTTGAGACCAAGCCTCACTGTCTGGCCCTGGCTGACCTGGAACACAGAGATCTGCTGTGATTTAAGTCGTGTGCCACCCACCACACCTGACCCTCTGTCCTCCTTATTACAGGAAAAGAAAACCCTTTTCAGTAGAGACCACTTTCCCTACAGCGTTTTGTCTTTCTGGTTTTTTTTTTTTTTTTTTTTTAACTTTTAAAAAAATCTTCAGCCTAAACTACACTGAGATGCTGATATGTGTTTTTGTACTCTAGTGCCACAAAGTTCTGTGGCTGTCACCTACTCAGAATTAGGAGAGGAGGCATGCTGTGTGGAAAGGGCTCCATTGCCTCTGGGAGACAAGAGCTGAGCCTGAGCACAAAAGATCCTCGTCTCCCACATCTTTGATGAATCACAGCCTGCATGTTGGATTTGGCCCCGTAAGATTTACTTTCCATTCCATCTGGCAAAACCTGGGCTAAAAATAACAGGAGAAATCTCTGAAGATTTTCTTGCATCTCTAACTCAGAACAGCTAAGAGTTGGGGGCAGGGCACAAACCTTTTACTTTTAGACCCTTGGAAGGTTGGTATGCTTTGGAAGGGAAACACTGACTGTGGCAGGGAAGCTGCCGGGCTTGGGAGGCAACGAGAAATGAGATCAAGAGGGACAAAGCAAAGAAAAAGACGCTGGGGAAAGGAAAGAGCAGGTAAGATCAGCTTAGCATCAAAAGGGAAGAGCTGTTGACTTCCAATACATGTCCATTTAACAATACTGTACCAGAATGGGTTAACGTCATCATTTTAGCATCTGGGAAGCAATACTCAGTAGTTAATTAACAGAACATTAAGCCTCTGCCAAGCTGGCTATTAAAGCAGAAACTGGAAGACCCCAGACTCAGCCACTCTTGCAGCTCCCATCTCCAGTCCTTTTAATCCTGGCCATGACAGCAGCCTTAGATACTCTCTTCCGGTCGTAAGCCAGGCCCAGGGCAGCCATGCAGTCGATGAAGAACGTGGTGAAGTTGATGTGCCAGCGGTACTCACTGGCGGAGTAGTCATAGGGGAAGGCGTGGTGGTAGTTGTGGAAGCCCTCGCCTGGAACAGAAGCAAGGAGAGCCGTTAGGGGCGCGGTGACTGCTGCCTCCTCCTCTTTGCGCACCTTGTACCCACTGGTTCCTTAAACATGGGAGAATCAGACTGTAGGTGAATGAATGGATAAATCCAGTATCTTTTCTTTACAAACAGACACCCTCAAAGGCATCATAGTTCTACCGATATTATGGGATCTACACATCTTATCCCAATTAGTCCATTTCTATGAGGATATTAGCACTGTAGAGTGTGGGTAATTTATTTCAAGCTTGAATTAAGGAACACAAGCAATGATTAGAGGACAATTTGCACTTCTTCCACTATGAGTCCCTGAGATCAAACTCAGGTTGGTCAGGCTTGATGGGCAAGTGCCTATACCTGCTGAACTACCATGCCAACCCAGAAAAGATACTATGAATACTATCCAACACAGCCTAAGTTAATGAGTGTTACACATGGATGAGCCACCAATGCCTCTTACCGCCAAAGGAAAGAAGCCGTGGCTCGGCGTAGGGAAACCTAGCTCAAGGCCTCTGTCAAATTCTGTTAGAAAGGACAGGAAGATGTGGGCACAGGTATCAGGGGCATGCTGGGACCAGATTTCTAGGCTGGATCAACTACAATTCAAATGATCTGGTAGGATTCCCCATGTAATGCTGTGGGGAGGGGAGCTCTAGCACAAAACAGGAGACAATGGAAAAATAAAGGCCAAGTGGGGAGAGGACGGAAGGGAGGGCGAAGGCACGTGTGCTAATGGCCACCACGCAGGCATCACTAATGGACGAGCCACGTCCAGTACACTATAGAGATACAAGTGTTATCCATGTAACATACTCGAAACGTATTGCGCTAAATAGACTTTATAAAGCTGCCTTTTATGCAGCATAGCTAAATAGAAACATGAGACTTACATTCATGGAGATGACTCTACTTTCCTATGTATGATTCCCCCCTTCCTAAACGAGATTGCAGACACGCCCCCAGAAGGAACTAGGAAACGGGAAAAACTCAAAGAAACCTGTTATAGGCAGATTTTCTCCTTTTCCACAGAAGTCAAGGCCTCTCAAAAGGCTTCCCTGAGAAGATTATCCCCAGTGTTATAGTGGGAAATACACAAAACTCCGATCATTCTGACTCTTCTGGCTCCTGGCCCAGTATCTTTAGCAGCAAGTCACCAGATATGGTCATGATGGGGACCTACTCACCTACAGCTCCCATTGAAACCAGGATATTCTCCCGAGAGCTAATGTTCTTGTCGTAGGGGCGATATCCATAGAGGTGGGCAGCGCTGTTCACCAGCCAGGTGGCATTGAGCACTACGGCATATCGCAAGAAGGTGCTAACGCACAAGCTGTGCAGGAAAGTTTCACCCCAGCAATACCAGGGCACCAGCGTGGGCAGGATGAAACACATCAACAGAAGGCCGGGCTTGTAGTATCTACATGGAGAGATTGCACACTGAGTATAAAGAGAACTCTCACACTCCCATGGACTGTCCAGTCCCGGCAGGCAGGGCTTTTTCCCCTGTACCATGAGTAAGGCTAGCAGGAACCAGTCCTACCCCCATAAAAAACAAACAAACAAACAAACAAAAAACAAACAAAAAACAAAAAAAAACAAAAAACAAAACAACTGTGGCGCAAAATTTGAAAGCAAATGCTGTTTGTTATCTCACTGGTTTAGATGGGGCAACATGGATACAATGACTCCAGTATCACAATTGCTTCCAGGACTGCTCTTTACCCGCCCCTGTGTTTTGCTATCATGACCACTGGACACTGAGGTGCAGTAGGTGTAGCCTCTCCTTCCTGCTACCAGCATTCTTAGCTCCGCTGGCCCACCCCCAAACACTGAATGTCCCAGACCAACTGCGGGCCTCTGACCCTATAGCAACACTAGCCCTCTCCATCCTAGACCAGATACTCCAAGGAACCTGACTCCAGTGTCTTCCACTTTTGCATCCCGGTAAGTCCCCGCATCAAACTCCTTTCCATCAACTTTGACCTCTGCTTCCTTAGCTTAGGTCTCTCCCACCATCTATCTAACTTTGTGCCCTCCCCACGAGTGGGCAGCAGCTCCTAGAAGACCCTTTAGTAATTCTGTTGCTAACTGAACTACTCTTAAGTCTGCATGTAGGACAGCTTCTACAGGAAGGGTATCACAGTATGTCTTGACCGCTCTTTTCCCTCCCTCCTCAATTTCAAGCGGAGGCCTTCATTCCTGTAACATTCTTGAGGCTTTAGCTCAGTGCATTCTGCCTGTAGAGCACAGTATACCTCTGGAACAACTGTGATGTCTCCATGCAACTGTGGGTTCAACACCACTTCTCCTAGGCCCTTCCCTGAGCTTCAGTAAGCAATCGTCCTGCTCTTTATATCTGTCAGGTATAAACATATCCTGGCTTGCTAGCATGATTTAATATCAGGCTACTGTGTCCTCTGTCCCTCCTGTCCCCAACCAGGCTACCTACTCCTTCCAGATAAGGTCTTCATTACACTCAGTTCTCTGTCTTCTTTTCTAGGTCAATAAACAGGGTTTTTATTTTGTTTTGCATTTAATTGGTTCCAATCAGATAACACATACAAAGAAAAATTAGTTTATCTCTGTGGCCCATACGAAATTAAAAATAGGTTTAAAAAAGTCACAGCTTTAATTTTACAATTCTTAAGAGTGTAAAACCCCACATTCCCAGGACCACCCCTCTTCACTCACCTCCTCTGGAACATGACCAGTTTCTCGGCTTTTAGGTCAGACATGTCCAGTTTTCCGCCCTTCTCTTTGACAGCCGGGTGTTTGCGCACAAGCAGCCAGCCCACGTGAGAGAAGAAAAAGCCACGCCGAGAATTGTGAGGGTCAGCGTGTGTTTCTGAGAACTTGTGGTGGGCGCGGTGGTCTCGGGCCCATTCATACACGTCATTCTGGAGGGACAGGAAAGAGGACCCCAGGATTGAGAAGAGAAGCCCTCTGGGGGAATGCAAGGGTCTAGGTGTCTGCCAGGGCCTGGAACTCTCAGTCCAACTCACAGAGTCCCAGGACTCTGGCTCAAGACTGCACAGGGTAAGGTGAGGGGCTCTCCTCTGTTTCACACTTGTCTAGAAGTACATATAGAAAAGCAACCTAAAGATCCAGAGCATAAGAATAGGATGGCCACTTCCTGAGGCTGTATGGAAGGAGAAAGCAGGAAGTCTCAGATTTTTTAAAAAAGCTAATTTTATGTGTGTGTGTGCACGCGTGCACACACGTGCATATATGTGCCCATGTGCCATGGCTTGTGTGTGGTCTGAGGACAAGTTTCGGTTCTCTCCTTCCACACAGCAGGTTCTGGGGATTCAAGCCCAGGTTGTCAGGCTTGCACAGGAAGTACCTTTGCCACTGAGCCATCTTGACTATCCCAGAGCAACTTTTCAAACAATGACTATGGAATAGGGTGCATGTGGTGACAGATGCATGTGGAGTGTCTATCTTCTGGCTCAGAGTATGAGGCAAGTGGCCTTGGGCCCTGGGGTGCTACTCTATAGAAACTGACCGTCCAAGGCCAGCATTAATGAATGAGCATTGCATGTTTCCAAAGGATCTGTGGACTTGTCTGGGTCCCTTCAAAATATACCAGTATCTCTTCCTTCCCTTTGTCCCCCAAGATCTTTCAAAGGTAAAGTTGCTAGGCCACCTCAAATCTTAACAAGAGGGGACTAACTGGGTTTCCTAGTTTCCTTTTGCAGCAAAAATTAAAGCCACCACCCTTGGCCATCCTGTGTCCTTAAAGCCACAAGAGTCCCCTCCCAATTCGCTATCCTTGCTCTGCTAAAGCTTGTTGTTTGAACAATCGTCAAGATGTTTTACTTCCCTCCACAGTGGCGCACGGCACCGCAGTGTTGACAGAGCCAATCACTGGGCATCTACTCATCTCTGAAAGAGCAGCAGCAACAGTATCTGCTACCTCCAATGGCTGTGAGGACAATCTGGTTAAATGATTAATGTTTGTTGTAAAACAACAGAGCTCCAGGGTCTAGGACACACCTTCTCTCCCACCGTGGTGTAGTCCTAGACAGTTACCTTAATGTGTGAGCGGTTGGTTCTCTTGTGGTCTAGGAAATCGGGATCACTACTGGCTCTTGTGCCCATCCTTTATACTGAAGACCCACAACAGTCAAGCTGTGTGACACCACAGGGACCTTGAGGCGAAAACTGACCTAGTACTTGGGGACCCTTTCTTATTTCCCTTCCCAGGGGCTCTCTGGTATATGAACTTCAGCACTACGTCTGCACTCTTGGTGACCAAAAGGGCAACGGCTGTCCTAAGATCCCAGACTGCCAGCCATGGGGTAGACACAGCTAACAGCACCGGCTGCTCACCTGGAAAGCCATGGTGTTGGCCAAGATGAGAAAGAGCCGCAGCGGCAGCCGAGCCTTGTAAGTTCGGTGACTCCACAGGCGATGAGCCCCGGCCGTGATGCCCAAGGCACTGATGACGTAGTACAAATATGCTGTGGGACAAGACAGTGGGGTTTGTAACCAAGAGGCCAGTTCCATAATGGAAATCTGCCAAAGACAGTTTCCTAGCACCAGTTAGCCTCTCCTTCAGCCTGTGGGTAATGGTCTGGTTTTCCCCAAGCCCTGGGATGCCTTAGTCTGCAAAACCTCAGAGATTTTACCACTTTGTGCTACTGGTCATCACGAGTCTCTATGGGCACCATCCCAGGACCTATCTCTCCTTTGACCTCTAGCTGTCCTCTAAGATGTTCTGGTCAGGTAACTGCATTTCTCAGCCTAGAACTCACAGCCAGGGGCACTTTTGAAGCAACAGCCAGAGCAGTTTGGGCAATGGCTAGTTGGAGAAAACACGGGGTGATACTGAATAGCGAACTATACACATGAGGCTTTTACCAGTGGACACAAAACCATTTGGACACTATAGCAGTATAAGGGATAGTCAGACTTGCAGAGTGGCTCAAACACTAGCGAGGACAAGAGTCTCACATTCCCCCACATACCTTGACCAAGGTGGGTGCTATTAATGCCACACATTCCTGTTGAGGATATAGATTCTGTTTGAAGGATTTTCTGTCCCCCATCCCTTCTTTCAGTTCTACTATCCGGTCCCTGAGATCTCTGTGCCCAGTTCTCCTGTCTCTCCCTGGCCACTAACTGGGAAAGAGGAGAGCAGTTCACCCATTTGTCTCCTCCATTAGTAGAACTAAGAAGCAGGGGCTGGGACCTTGGTAGAAAAGGCTAACACTGATTCCCTTCCAAGGGACATCAAGAAACAAAGGCCCTTCAGAGGCTACAGAACTTGGTTGCTACTGGAGATACCACACATTGTACAAACTGCTCTGTGCTTTTCTGCAGACAGATAAGTTTCCTAAGAACTCTCTTCTCCTTCCCCCTTCCTGTCCCTCCTACATGATCCCAGGGGAGCAATAGATAGCATACTAAGAGAAGTTCTGGCCATCGGATGAAAGACCTTACCTATGTCTGGAAAGATACTAAGGTAACCAGAGCCCTGGGGGGGGGCATTTTGGGCAAAGCAGAAGCCTTATCCCAGCACCAAGGGGACACCTGCACTTCAATGTGCGTGTGGGGGAGGGGTATGACAGTGGAGGGTGACCACAGGGCACAGGGAGCCCACACAAGAACCCAGGCAGTCTTAACCCTCTTCTGCTCACCTCTCAGTCTCGCACTCAGGAGAGTAAGATCCCTTCCCTGCCTCCCAGAGAAGTGTCCCCAATAGCGGGTATATAACATCTCAGCTTTACAATCAGAAACTGTGTCCATTAGGCTCTCACAGTGTTGGCAAAGATGTCTATTTAGCTCTGGGGTTATGGTCCATGAAGGTACAGCCAAGACAGGAACAAGGCTGGCAGGACACACAGCTAACCTAAAGAACTTTCCCATCCCTACTCTTGACAAAGATGTGCTGTTTAGATTATGAGTGGCATATTTGACACCTGGGAAGCTCTCAAGGACCATATCTCAACACCTGTAAGACCTAGGAGGACCGAGGTAGAGGCAGTTAATACTGAAGACAAAACCACCTGCAAAGCACATGTGCGTATCCAGGGGGCAGCACCGCCACCAGCCGGTACCCATGGCCCCCCGTGGAGCTGAGTTAGAATCCCGTTCATCTGAAGGTTGGGGCTGCTCAAGGCTCTGTTGCCTGCCAAGGAGGCACTATTAGGTGTGGAGACTGAAGGGGGAGGCTCCACAGCATTATGTGCACACAGGAGATAAGCAGCAGCAGGCAGAAAAGAAGGCGAAACACTGTTGCAACCTTCCTTTAGTCTAAGAATGGTTTGTTGCTGCCTTGTTCGAAACCCTGGAGCCATATACCTTTGTAATTGGCCATACAGGATCCTGCTTCACCTTCCTCCAGGTCAAACCAGCCTGCTCTGGCTGGCCAGGCAGAGAGGTCCAAAGGGTTATGTTCATAACCTCCTTCTCTTATCTCCTCCCCTGTCTCTGTCCCCTCACTGGGCTCAACAGGTTGCCACCCGTGAGGCCTGTGCTCCAAAGTCCCCTAGGCAGGGCCTGCTTCTTTGGTGGCGGGCAGGGCTGGGACAGGTGCCATCAAGTGACTCATACAGAAAAGCCTGCTCAGTGGCCTCAGCATCAATGTTAAGAGACTCTTAAAATTCAAGCCCACCTTCCTAATCCCACTAGGCTCTTTTCCCAGCCCATTTGCTCCACCCGGAACCAAAAAGAAAGGGCTGCTGCCTTGGGCCAGAGGTCACCCCATTAAAGAGCAAGGAGAAACCGCCCAAGACAAGGGGAGCTGCTCACCGAAGATCCAGGTGTAGACCCTGCAGGACGGAACCAGTGTGATCCCATACAGGGCCCCCAAGTGCAGCAGGGCCATGAGGATGATGTTTCTCCAGACATACTCCAGCTTGGGCGGGGGCCCCTCCTCATCCTGGTAGCTGGGGTCGTATAAGTCATCTTTTATTTCAGGGCGAACGTCTGCTCCCCAGTGGTGAGGATTCTTTTCTAACTTCTCTCCTCCATTCTGCTGTTCCCCAGAGGGAGGCGCTGTGATTGTGGTGGTGGTGGTTGAGCAAGAGCCAGAGATCTGCCAGGGGAGGGAGAGAATTAGGAATGCAGACGCGTGGGGGCAGCAGGGGGTACTTCCCTGTAACGTAACTGCGGGAAGGATGCAATACTGGCCAGACCCCAGTGCCAAGGTTGCATGACGAAACGGAACAAGGGGAAGTTTCCTTAAATGCACAGACCGGCAGGAATAAACCTTATGCTGATGGGGCAGGGGAGATGTCTTATTAGCAGCACCCTTAGTAATTCACAAAGGAGACCCTGCAAGTATCGACGAGGGTCAGGTTTACTTTAAAGACTAAGAAACACAAGTTAGGCGACCAACTGCCCTGAGTAAAAAAACGGGTTAGAGAAGCAATCATTCAAGGGAGAGAAACTCGAAAATGATGCTCCCAACTGCTCTGAACTCCCTCCAACCCCCAACCAGCCACCCACCTAGAAGTCCAATCTGCACCCGCCAACCTGAGAGGGAGGGGCCATATGCGGGTAGCTCACCTCTTGCAGTATGTGGGCCGGCATCTTGGCGTTGGGTGCTGGGGTCACGCTCCCAGGGATGAGAATGTGCAGCGAGCTTCAGACCTCAGGGACTGAGGGTGCTATGACTTAAGTTTCTGCAGCCCACTGTGCAGAAACCCTGAGCTCCCTGTAGCTCTGCAGAAGCCCTGGGCCAGAGCTGGCAGTGAGGTAATCGTGTCCTATATTTCCTTAGGTTCGTTTTATTGATCAATGGCCAGATACAGAATCAAAAGCGGGCTGGCCAAGGCAGCAGCGGGCGGAGATAAGGATAGGAAATGAGAGGACGCCAAAATCGCCGCTTGCAGCTACCAGTGTACAGGAGTCGGAATACTGCAGACACCAACACCGCATTGTCCCATCCCCAGCCAGGCGGAGGGGGGAGATGCTAATGAGGCTTTCGTAAACTCTGGCTGGTCATTGGCAGATGGGAATTTGGTACCACCTCGTCCTGCTGCTCTCATTGGCTCTGCACAATCTGCTGTTCCCTCTGCCTCCAACTCCTCCCCCCCTCCTCCCTTCTTTTTCTGCCTCTTGGCTTCTCACCCATCCCCCGCTGGTCCACCACCCAGCCCCCACCCTGCCACGGGGGCGCTTCGGCGCTCTTTCTGGGAGAGAAGACCCAATCCAGCAGTGGGGGTTGGCTTCCAGACCAGGAAGACCCGGCGTGGTACTCAGAGGTTGCACAGCTGGGGGAGCCACTATAGCCACGACCACTCATAACTCCATCCGGTCTCGGAAGGCGCGTGGGAGGGGAAATGGCTACCACCAACAGAGAGCAAAGCTGAGAAGGGACCTGCAGACCCGCCTCCCTCCTCAACAGGCGCCTCTGTAGACCCTGCTGGAACAATGGCTCTGCCTCTCCCACCAGCTCCAGGATGCTTACCAGATAATACCCGGAGCGCTAGTGCCATAATCAAGTTCTCGTAGATCTGCGACCTGCCCATTCACATTAGGCTCAGTTACTAAGGTCACTATGCCCAGACCGAGGGCACAGCCACCGTCGGTTGTCAGTATCCAATCCCACTCCCATCCCCATGCCTTCCGAATGCACGTAGCACCTTTGGGAGACTCTTCCTCTGTCAGGTTGGAATTCTGCAGTTTTATGGAAAAGACCAGAAAACAGCAGGCCGGGGGACTCGTAAGTGGAGTAGGAACAGAGAACGGGTGTTAAATGGCTACTGTAAGCTACACTGTAGCCTCGCATGGGTACTCCATCCTTCCACTTTAAACAGGAGGAACGTGACAGACGCAGATGAAATCACTTGGTGAGTGATCTCCTCAGCCAGTAAGTGGTGGAGCTGGCTTGAGCACAGCGACATGAAATCGATGCCCAAGCTCTCAGCCCCTACTCGGGACCCTATGGCCCTTGGACCCTTAGGTGCTCCGATCTCAGAGACCTGCCCTTCATGACCCCATCTTCTCTGGGTCTGTGTTAACTATCGAGAGAACATGTAGCCTGGCAGGCTGTGCAGTCGACCCATTATTGCATTGCCCACCTCCTCTAGGAAAGGGGCATGGTAGAGATTGGGGCAACACCTGGCTACTCAAGAAGAGAGATGGCGGGCGGCATTTCCTGGGAGCAAGATAGAGATCTTGCCTCCTGGTTGTCAGGAGTTTGCCAGCTCTCTAGCTAGTGACCGGACACCTCCATTCCAGGCCTGGCCTCGCTGGCCAGTGCTAGCTAGGAATGCTTGAATGGGAGCAGGTGTTCTCAGCAAATGGTAGTTGAGTTGCGGTGGTCCAAAAGTGTTGTGTGAAGTTATCTGTAGGTGCCACTACCCCTTGGGTTGTCTGTGTGATGTCTGATTGGCTTAGTTCTTTTACCAGCTGTGTCCTTAGACTGTGAGGCATGTACAACAGAATCGGTTTGGGAGCTTCGGCATCTACATCAAAGCGCCAGCCATTTGATGTCTGCCAAGCATGGGTCTCTAATTCATAGGTAGCCATCTTTTCTCTGTCTTCAGTGGGGGAGGGGAGAGGTAAGCTTTGCTTAATCTTAATTGTGTGGACGTATGTGTGCATGCGAGTATGTACACATGAATGCAGATACTTGCAAAGCCAGAGGTGGCAGATCCCCTGCTGCTGGAGTTCAGCAGTTTAATGTGGGTACTAAGAATCAAACTCTGGTCCTCTGAAAGAATAGCAAGCACTCTTAACCACTGAACTGTATCTGCAGCCCATGGGGTTTCTTTTATAAGGACACTAATATCATCCCTCTTCCAAGCCACCATCCCAAATACTGATGAGGTTTCACCATAAGAGTTCAGATTTCAAAGTATTGCTTGCCCTCTTTCTGGTAGAAGATTCAGAGTTCCTTTGGGATGCCTTAATTGCTGTGGAAGACTGCTCTATGGGACAAACTTACCCTTGCACTCCTCAGCCGGCAGCCCGCCGTGCTGCTGGCACCAATACCTAGCGCTGGTTGGCGATGTTCCTTAAGCCAGTTGCTATTGCATTCATTGTCTATCAGAGAAAGCTAGAGGAGGATTGCCAAGACAACAGTGTAGAACAGGAGTCCTACATTTCTCTCCAAGACAGGTTGCTGCCCTGGGGAGAAAGCTCTAGGAGCCTAGAAAAGGGCTGAGTTCGAGAGAATGAGTTCCAGGAAGAAAGAAGACAGGAACAATGTAACTGTTGATAAGGGAGAGGATGCTGCCTGGTTCATTTCATGCCTGCCAACTTCAGGAGTCCCCGACTGAGCACAAAATAAAGCTGTGTGGTAGGAATGGTATAGGGACAGCGTCAGGCTTTGGCATCAAAAAGTATTACGTGACCATCAAATTAAAAGTTATTGGTAATATGTCATGAACATTTGTCTACAGTCGAGCTTGCAGTGATGCAGGTAAGAGCTGTTTAGGCACAACAATGCACATGTTTGGAAGATGGAGGTGAGAGCCGTAACATCCCTGTATGGAAAGGGGCACAAACTGTTATGGCAGTTTTTAATTTTGATCCTTCAACTCAAGAGAGTAAGAATTAAATACCTCCCACTTAGGCATCTTAAATAAGTAAGTTAATTTTAACTACAGGCATTCCTATTGGCCTTGGGATGAAGCATGTATTTCTTTCCATAACTTTGGAGGCCTTCTGGACCGTGAACCTCCCCTGCTTATGTATTTCCCTTAAATGTCCTCATTTCTCTTCAGTCCCTTGGTATTTTACTGTTAAAACCTGCAAATATTCCTTCCTTTTTGCCGGGAGCATTCGGTCCCCTCCAACCTTTACCCACTGTTGACCTTACTGTTTTATGGTTTTGTTTTTAAATCACCCAATGGTTTACCAGGCTGGCTCTCCCTGCCTTGCGGTCTTTAAGCCTTTTGTAGTTTCTACTCTTCGGTCTTTAAGCCTTTTGTAGTTTCTACTCTTCTGATATTTGTATTGGGACTTTCCGAGGAGGTCGGGCTTGAGTACCTGACCCAAGCTGGACTTTGAGTGGGCGTTTGTTCATTGAACTTGTTACGTACATCGTAAATAGGAGATATTTGAAATATTTCCTCATTACTATCTCTTCCAGGACTGTTCTCTTTTAAACAATAGGCAAGCATTAAAGCAAAGGTTGTTTCAAAAAGATGAGCCTTCGAGGTGTGTATTGTTTCTCTACCTCTCAACCAGGATGGCAAGTCTTGGGACCCTCCAGGTTTGGAGGAGTGGGGAGTGGAGATGTGGCTGAATGGAGAGTCTTTTGTCTAGCATCACTTTGGGACCTTGCAGTCAGCCTCACATTGTGGCCTGTTTTTTGTTTGTGTTTGTTTTGTTTTTGTTTCTGTTTTTTTTTTACTTCTCATTTCTAAGCCAATGGCAGGAGCTAGCCAGGCAAGGAGGAGAGAGCAACACACTTGACTCTGAGCTGGCTTCATCCTAGCTAGGCCAAGCCCTTGCTAGAAAAACACCTTTCATCAGCGTGAACTCATTATTCTCAGTGAGAGAAAAGAATAAAAATTACTGTAAGCAGTTACCCACTATCATGTCCAGATACGAAGTAAGTATTTTCTAATGTGGAATGAGGTCAGGCTATTCCCATAAGTGCCATAAGGAATGTAAATTAATAATGATCTTTTAATGCCCTCTTCCACCCATTTTCCTCCCCTCCCCTTCTCCCCCCATCCCTCCTTCTTTCCCTTACCTTTCCCTGCCCTTCCTTTCCTTCATGAACAATTTAATCCGAAGGCATCAGCTAAGTAAGGTATTTGTCCTCTGGGTGGTTAGATTTCTGGAGCACAGAAGTGTCTAGAATTAGGTGCTGCAGCATAAGCCACCAAAAAATCCTTGTTCAGGATGCTGTTTTGGTACTGAAGCCTGAGTGGAGAAACAAGGAACACTTCACTCCATCCCATCCCCACCCCTGGAGGAGCATCCTGATTCGGGGTGTTGGGTCCCCCAGTGAGGAAGGTGACTGCTTGGTGAAGGGGATCTTTCACAGTTTCTGGAAGGGACTAGATAGGGGCTGAAAGTCAGCTCTGCCTGTTCATTCCTTTCTGCTGAAGAACTCTGAACCATTTGAGAAATCTCAAGACTAAACTTTCAAGTTTAGGAAGGGATGAGTGTTAAGGTAGAATGGGCAGTCTATTCTTATTTTAGTGAAAAGTTTGCTATCTTGCTCTATAGACCCACATTGTTGGGTTTCTTCTCTTGCTAGGCCCCTGGTATCTTGTTCTCTGCTTCATTATTCTTAGAAGAGAAATTAAGAATTTATAACTTTTTTTTATTTTTTATTTTTTGAGAAGAGTTTCTCTATATAGTTTTCGAGCCTGTCCTGGCACTCACTCTGTAGATCACAAAGATCCACCTGCCTCTGCCTCCTGGGTGCTGGGAATAAAGGCATGCGCCACCAATGCCGGGCTAAGAATGTATAACTTAATAAGCTGTCTATAGATTGGGGATGTGGCTCAGTGTTAGAATGCTTGCGTAGCATGCAAGGCTCCTCTTCTGTCAGCAGCACCAAAAGAAAAAAGTTTAGTGCCGTTGTTCACCCATGTGATTACCATACTTGGGGGGGGGGGCTCAGGCAGGAGGACCTGGAACTCAGAACAAGCTTAGGCAACATTGTGAAACCATGTCTAAAATAAACAAACAGTCCTACCATTAATCACCTCATTCTAAATTGCTGTTAAGTGTTTAATAAAACAGCCGGCACAGGGATAATTCAGGTATGGAAAAAAACATGTGCCAGGCAGTCATTTTAGAGCCAGAGGTCACAAATAGAGATTGCCAGACCTGGGTAGTGGGATGTACCGTCCACATATTGGGACAGATGTGCCCCTGTCATGGCCCAGTCTAGACTGTCCCTCACTGTGTTTGTGGGATATGACCTCCCATGTGAGTCACTTTGCTCTACAGGACATAATAGTCAACTTATCCCAA